GCACAGCACAGCACAGCACAGTCCTCCCCTCGCCCCCACACAGCCCCCAGCCTCTGCCCCCAGGGCCTGGTTCTGTCCCAGGGCCGTGCCCCAGCTCTGCTGGGTGCAGGTCCTTGCCCACCCCTGTCAGTGGGGCACCGGGCAGCTCTGCCCTGGGCACCCCCTCCTCCTGCCTCCCCAGGACCCCCCAGCTCCTTCTCTAGCGATTCCTCCCTTCTCCCACGTTAAGGTCTCCAGCCCCTGCCCCAGCTCGCTCTACACCCTCAGCTTGCTCCCACCCAATGCCAGGCAGGATCATCCCTGTTCCCTCCAGACCCCAGGCCCCCTTCCCCAGGCAGTGCTTCATCCTGCTCTCCTGGGCAGGCAATCTGTCCCTCCAGCCTGGGACTCGGACAGATGCCTGGGGAAGAAGAAGTGTTATTTCCTCCCAGACATCAAAGTCCTTGCACAGATTCACCCTCGCTGGAGACCTGTCACCAGCTGGGGACATTCCTTGTGCTGTGAAAGGGCAGTGGTGTAACAAAAGATCCCCCAGAGATTACCCATCTCCTTCCTTTCCGTTTGGCACAAAATAGGATCCTGCTGGAGACCAACATCCCAGCCCTGCAGTAACAGCAGGATTTCACTGAGACTGTCCTTCCCCATTTTGGTATAACCCAGATCCCCTCTGCCTGGCATGCTGAGGGCAGATCCTGGCTCCTGCCCCCCCAGCTCTCTCATTTCTGTGCCCAGGGCCAGATGGCTGGTTCTCTCCGTGGCTCTGCGCTCCTGCCGCAGTCCCAGCTGACCACTTTGTTTGTAATAGTCCTCAGAGGGGAATTACAGCTGAGTATTAAATGTGTGGTTAAAGAAATCGCATTACACAGTGTGACTGTAAGGGAGATGTTTCCCTTTAATCTGTAATCCATGGAAGTTATTAGTTTAGTGAGCAGAGCGGATAGGCACCGCGTTTCCATTAGGATATAACCCTGAGCAGACCCATCACCTCCAGCCACAGCACAGCAACCCCTGCTCCCAGCACAGTCCTTGCTTCCCTGTTCCCAGTTATCTCAATGCCACTATCATGGTAACATGGGGCTGTTTAACATTGCAGAAAAGAAAAGGGAAAAAAAAAATCATGCTGAACGACTGATGTGCTCCTGTGAAATAATGTTTGTGTCGTGTATCCTGTCCTGCAGGTCTATGCAATATTAGTTAGTCACCCTCCTGCTCCCAACGATCACCTAACACCAACACCTGTATCATACACAGCTGGCTTCTACAGGATCCCTGTCATTGGTCTGACAACACGCATGTCTATATATTCTGATAAGGTAACTGATGCACGTTTCTAGTCTAGTACCTCATACATGTGCTGTAAATCAAGAGTGCCCGTCAGGAGGGTTAATGATGTCTACTCTCTGTGTCTGTCTGTCCACCCTCTCCAGCTCAGCCTGCAGCTCCCTCTCTCTCTCCTGCATTTCCCAGTACATTATTTTTTCACAGCTGCCAGTGCTGACCTACATAGTGCCGGATGATTTCTGCAGCGTGGCTCTGCCAGGCTGCTGGGCTCGCTGCTCTTCAGCCCAGCAGAGGCATGAGCTGGTTGCTGCCCTGCTCACTAGTGACAGCCAGGGGGTCCAGGGGGCTCCCCGGGTGTGTGGGGCCCGGTGGAGGGGCAGGAGGATCCTATAAGAACCTGTAGATCGGGCAGGAGCTCTCTGGGGCTTGAAGGTTGTTTGGTTGCATTCACCTCTCTGGGTTTTTGGGATATTGGTAGGGAGATCACAGAATATCCCGAGGCTTCACGTGACACTCAGTCTGGCCAGCACTCAAGACAGAGGTTCCAATTCCAGTGTCTCAAACCACTGCAGCTGTCTCTGTGGGGAACACAGAGACTTCCAGACTGGATGAGGTTGTGGGAGCAGTGCCCTGTCCTGGGCAAGGACAGCCCATCTGTGATTACTGAAAGCAAAGGGAGGAGCTGAGCAGAGCCAGGCCATCCACATGCCATTGCAGGATTTCATGCAGGCACTCGAGCACAGCGGGTGAGATCAAGCCTGTTTCGAAGCACGAATTGGCCTTTGCTTGGAAAATGTGAATATTCACAAATGTAAATGTTCAGTGCAAAAATAGTCCCTCCGCCCACATGCTAAATGAAGTCAAATTTCAGGAGGGAGGAGCAGAGGCTCCTAGAGATGCACCAGCAGCACTGCTCAGCTGGAGCAGCAGCAGCTCTTGGCATCTCCCACCAGTAAAGTCATGATAGGATGGACAGCAAGCCAAGACCACGGTAGTGACAGCGATGGTGGCTGGCTGGGCTGGGGGCCTGCATGGGCAGGGTCCCACCAGGCATGGTTAGAGGGAAAGGGAAGGCAGCAGAGCTGGCAGAGCAAGGGAGAGGGCAGGCAGAAATTGTGCAGGGGGAATTTGCTTCGTGTTGCTGTGGAGCAGGAATATGTCTGATAGAAATGTCACTGAGAGGGACCTTACCTGAGGCAGGATTGGTGTGCCTGCCCCGAGGGGCTGGGACCTGCCCTGACAGTCTCTGCTTCTGACAGACTTTTCCTATTAAAAGTGTTTTCTGCAAATCTGGCTCATAAAATGCACCTGACTCACTTCAGGGCTGGAGGAGCGACCCACTGTCACAGCGATGACCCAGTGCAGTGTCAGGAGCTGCTCTCCATGGAATATTTTGGGGAGTTCAGCAGGTGCAGGGCTGTGGGTTTCACTTGCCTGGCACAGGGCGGGCATGGAGGCCACCCTGCCCCTACCAGGCTCGTCTCACCCCTCTGAGCACTCCTGCCTGTCTGACCTCCTGCTCAGCCACCTGCCCACCCAGGCACATGGGGACCTGGGGGCCTGGGGGATTGGAGCTCTCTGCAGATGCTGGCAGGGGATGGGGCAAAGGCAGGGACTGGGTAGAGGAGCAAAGAACGTTGAACAGTGGAAGAGACAGCAAAGGTGGTGGTGGAATGGGGGACAGAGGGGTGTGAAGCCATGGGACAGGCTCTGCACACCCCATGCAGGACAGGCTGGCTTGTGTGACACAGGGACATTCAGCTGTTCTTTTTTTGGTTTCCAGTGATCAGCTTGGTTTTGGGGTTGTTTTTTTAAATTCAGTAAATTATATCTTTCAGCTTAGTTTCTATGGAAACAAGCTGGGAAGATCACTTTGTATGCACGCCCCTGATTGGTTTTGAAGGCGTCAGGCAATTTTAGCTAAATTTCACAGGGGGTTGAAGTGGAGTTAATTATGGTCCTCTCCAGGCTATGCTGCCAGGGGGAGGAAAGGTGTGGGCCTCAGCACAGACAGGTTTGCCCAGTACCTTCTGATGCTCCTGGAGCATCCCCAGTCGAGCACAGTGGCCCATGAGCTGTAGCCAGTCTACCAGCAAAGATACCCCAGGGAAGGGAGCTTTATTGCTCCCAGTATCCAACCAACTGTTTTTCTAGAAGTGCTATTGCAGCTGAATGGTCTGGCTTGGCAGCCTTTGGCCTCCTTGTACATCTTATGAAATCATTGCCTGTTCCTGCACAGAGACTCTCCCACCACCCAGCACAGTCCTGCACACTGAGGGCTCTCTGGAGCCCCAGTCACCTCTGGGTGGGGTGAGCAGGGAATCGGAGGAGGGAAGGGGGCTCTCACGGTGAAGTGATCAGAGTGGCCCCCCTGGCTGTGGAGAGCCCTCCACGGAGATCTGATGGACTGAGCACTGCAAAAATCACACTCTGGCCTTCCTATGCTGGGCCCTCTGCACGACAACCTGGGTTGTGCTTTAGTGCTCCTGCTCCCACGTGGCTTTGGGGGTGTTTGTGCCTCCTTTGCATCTCAGCTGAAAAAATGAGGTGTCACAGACATCTTGGCAATATGAGAGATATGAAATGACATGGAGAGTGTGAGAACAAAGCTCGTGGGGAAATGCACAGCTCAAGGACCAGGAAGGTCTGGTGCTGTTCATCACCACCGTGTGGAATGCGATCCCTACCTGTGTGGTGGGGATGAAGGGACATCCTGGGTGCCCAGAGGTGCTGAGCCCCACACTGCACCCTAATCAGAGAGCTGTTGCAGTGAAGGATCAAGGGGGGTTAACTGAGACTTGCTCTGCTGGTTAAAGAGATGGAAAATGGAGTTTAGTCATCCTGCACTTGGAGAACTCTTTCAATTCCAGCACCTGGTCCTGGTAGTTACAACGAGGTCTGTCTCCCTCTTTCTCTCTCTCTTCAGCCTGGGGATGGCTTTTAGCTCTGGTTCCTGCTCTCAGGGTAAGCACTCCATGCCAGAAGTGAGTTATTGCTCACTGAGAGAGGTACCTTTCTGTATTACTGGTCTCACTGTCAACCGATGCTCAGCAGAAACCTTGTTAATCAGAGTGGGAAGCTGGACTGGAAGTGGGGAAAAAGCGATTTCCTTTGACCAAGGTCAGGATCAGGATTCCTTCACCTGTAAGCAATGATCAGAGAGGCTGTTAAGTGTGACACAGAGTTGTTTGCCCCAGGAATGGGCAGCCCAGCCACCAGCAGAGTAGCTCAGCCCTCAGTCAGGCAGCCTGGAATGTTCCAGAGCAGACCAGGCTAGAGCAGTGATGGGCTGATGGAGCTCACTCGTTCCAGTGGAGAAGAGCTCTTCACAGGCTCTCAGGATTCCAGCTGGGACAAGGACAGACACCCCCCAGTCCACAGGGGCCGTTCCCCAGAGGCTGCCACGTCCCTTCCCCCGTGCCCTGCAGGGAGAGGCACACAGTGCGTTTGAGCCTGAGCTGCCCACCCCTCTGTCCCCACTGAACCCCTCCCTGCACATCTGAGCTACCTCAGAGTTATCTCAGCTCCCTCCCACGTCCACAGCCGTCACGTGGGGCAGTGGACAGCCTCCTTCCACGGGGATGCTGGCCAAGGCTTCTTTGTCATATCCAGCTGGTGATTTTTACTTCATTTTCCTGAGCTTTATAGGTTGGGATCTCTGTCAATCTCTTTGAAACTGCCCAGGCAGCTCATTTTGGGATTGAATTGCTAGAAGGAGGATCGACCTCATTTCCACAGTTAAGTGAAACAAAAGCACATTGCCTACTCAAGCTTTAATTTTTCTTTAATTTCCAGTAGGAAAAATAACTCCACCAGCCATGGACCATGAGCTGGGATGAGCCCTTAGGGAGGCAGAACTAAGGGGATAGCAAGCCTTTCCCTCAGGGACCTGTAAGTGGTGCTGATGTGGACACACATCCATGGTGGCCTCCAGCCATGCCCTGTGCACATGCCCTACGGACACAAACTCCATCAGTGGGCACCCACAAGTACCTCTTCCCCTGAGCATGGCCATGTGCAGACTGTGCACAGGGATTCCAGCACCCAAGCCCTTTCCCTGCAGGGGCACAGACACTCACACACTTGCTGCATGGACATTTGTGCCTGGATTCCACAGCATCATCTGCTCAAACAGCTCCTCTTCGTATGTGCTCACATCAACCAAGTCAGGAACACTAATAGTTTACAGTTCCTAAGTCCTGACCCCACACAGAATCATCATGGAATCCTAGAATAGTTTGTGTTGGGTGGGACCTTAAAGACCACCTTGTTCCACCCCCTGCCATGGGCAGGGACACCTTCCACCAGCCCAGGTTGCTCCAAGTCCCACTCAACCTGGCCTTGGACAATTCCAGGGATCCAGGGGCAGCCACAGCTTCTCTGGGCAACCTGTGCCAGGGCCTGCCCACCCTCACAGAACTTGCCATGAGTTATTCTTCATTATCCCATTTAAAAACCACAATTCTGTAATCCAGGAGCTGAGACACCACTGGAGCAAGGCCATGGCCCTTTTGACACCATACTGGAAACTGTTAAACCAAGTTGCTCCCAACAACCTCGTAATAAATTGTTCATCTGAACCAAGTGATATGTATTTACAATACTTAAGGAAGTCATGATCAGTTTAAACACCATTTTTACAAGCTAATGGGAAACTAGAAAGTAATTTGATGCAATATACTGAAATCTCAGAGATTTTTTAATTTCAAAAATGTATTGAAAGAATTTTGTTAGCATTTCTTTTCCCATGTTTTTCTAATTTTTTTGAATATTAGCTTTTCTGGGTTTTTTTTCAGCTCTTTTCTGATTTTTTTTTTTCATTTTCATTTTCCCTAGATTTCCTTAAAGCAATTAAAAATTCTCATGGGTTAGAAACTAGAAATGCTCAGATCCATCTTGTGTATCTCTGGCCCAAGCTGTGGAACAGGACCTGGAAACTCCTGGGCATCTCTGCTGACTCCAAACAGATCTTGAACACTGTGTTGGTGTGGAGATTGTGGTTGTTCTTCCATTGTTTGTCCCTTGGGGCTTCTTCCCAATCCCATGGATTAGGGCTGGGCTTGTGGGGTGAGCTGCATTTCTGCTGCTCTTCCTGAAACTGGGAATGCTTGTATCAGTCAGACAGAGCTGCAGCTCTGAAGTGCTTGTTGTGGCTCTCTTGGTTTGCTTCCTCCTTTTTTTAAACATCCCCAGTTCTCCTCAGTGGCTCAGTAATCAGGACGTGTTCCCAGTGCCTTGGTGGTTTTGCTGCTGCCTCTGTCATGGTTTGGTTTGATGTTATCACCATGTTGAGTGTGAGGAAAAGGCTTTATTTGGTGTGTCTGTTCCTGCTGTGTGGGCCCATGGGGGACACGGTGACTTTTCCCTTCCAGTGTGATCTACTTTGGCCCCTGCAGGACATTTCTGACCCATGCTGGGTCTGGTCTCTGGGTGAGCAGTTCTGAACAAGCCCTGTTTGGTCCAGACAACCATCTCAGCCTCAAAGAAAGAAATATTATGGTGCTTTCCTTTTTGTCCTCTCTGGTTCAGAATTCTGCCTCCCTCCGGCACGTAGCTGGGTTGTCAAGTAAGGCCCCTGCTGAGCATGAGCACTTTGACTTTCTAATATTTGACTGTAGGGCCTTTTGGAAAAGCTGCATTTGTTTGAGAGCTCTCTGTTTGAGAGCTTTTTGGTCCAATTGCTCCCCTAACAGTGCTGTACTTAATTAGGCTGGAATTGCTATTGCACAATCATCCAACCATAACGATGTCTTTAACCAAATCACAGAGGTCAGCTGGGACATGAGTCCAGAGCTGCCTCCTCCTGTGGAACAGGCTGACCTAGAAACACTCAGAGAGCATGTTATAAAACTGCTTTTCTGAACTTCTATCATGACAAATAACGAATATATAGCTGCCTGTTCCTGCCTCTTGCTCCTCTCTAAAGGGAATTCAACATCTTTGTGATGGCCATTGCTCAGTGACAATTTTGAAAGGTCAAGAGGCAAGGCTATATTTGCACTGAACACTGCTGGCCCTTCGTGGCTCAACAGGCTTTTCTTCACTGTGGACCACAAAGCAAACAACCCTCTTTGCCATGCTCTGGATTAACCACAGAGAGGTACAAAATCATAGCCAGGATTTGCTTCTCAGGCAGAAGGAAGGAGAGCAGGTTAGCATTAGAGGTGTGCTCGAGGTGTGCAACCCAGAGGTCTTCCCAAAATGGCTTTGTGATCCCAGCCCTGTCCCTGCAAACCCGGCTGACAACCCCACAGTCTGTGTTGAGCTCTTGTTCTTCCTTGCAGAGCATCCACCTGTCCTTTTTGCGCACGGTCCCACCATACTCTCACCAGGCCAATGTCTGGTTTGAGATGATGAGAGTCTTCAACTGGAATCACGTCATTCTGATAGTCAGTGACGACCACGAAGGTCGTGCTGCACAAAAGAAGCTGGAGACCCTCCTGGAGGAGAAAGAGTCCAAGGTCAGTTCCTGAACATTGTCTTGTAGCTTTGTTTAAGCAACAACAAAACTAGAAGTCTCGGGCTGTTGTATGTATGTAGATTTCTGTATGTAAAACACCTTTTCTTTCCATTGTAACATGGCTAACATGCTTAAAGCATCAACAGTGTCTGACTAGTACCTGACAGAACTTTGTACTTTATTCATTTCACTTGCTTTGCCATGGTCAAAATCTCCTACATGTAAATCGACTACAAAATGAAGGGAAGGATAACCTGGAGCTCTGCAAATGCCTCGCCCGAGATTCCCACCTAAGGAGAGGACCAGTCACTCAGCTTAGGGAAGCACCTGCCCCATTGCAGCCACCCTGGGGCCAGCCAGACCCAGCAATGCCAAACCAACCCCGAAAAGCAGCTTCTCAATTGGCTTCCTGGGGCTCACCTTAGAGGCTTAGGAGGGGTCAGGCAGCTGGAGCGTTGCCGCCCCGAGGGGTTCAGCACCCTCTGTGTAGAGCTGTGGGCCGCAGGCTGGCGCCCCTTCCCATCTCCATCGAAGCACATGCCAAACGCTGCTTTCCTGACACCCATTGCTGTTACCAGAGGGCGGTTGTGGCTGCGGGAGCGGCTTTCTGCAGCAGATGCACTGCACCTGCACTCAGGGCCAGCAGGGAGCAGGGAGGGAGGTCCCCCAGCCTGCTAGAGATTCAGGAGGACAACCACAGACCTGCGGCGTGGAGTGAAAGGACCAAGAAAACTTTCCAGACAAGCAGGGAAGGAGAACGCAGGAGCTGTTTGGCTGCAATCTGCAAGGCAAGGAACCACCTCCTGTCCTACAGGGTGAAGTCCCAGCATATTCTCTTGCCTGGGACAGGGTGAGCCCCCTTTGGGTGTGCAGACACCGAGCCCATCCAAGTCTCCAGCAGCATCAGGGCAGGAACCAATTTGGGGTTGTTCCCTCCTGGGTCACAGGCAGGGACCTCAATCTGATCTTCTCCAGCCCCACCAGCAGCTGCTGGACTTTTGGCAGTCAGTCAGCTGTTGGAGAGGTGTGGCCATAGACACTTCCTGTGCTTGGAGTTGGTGGCTCAGCTGAGAGATCAGAGAGAGCAGCCTGTTACTGCTCTTCATCACCTCCCTGTCAACAACTGGTGCAGGGCTGCAGGCTGGCACAAGCCACACTGAACAACAGGCTTTTGGTTTTGGCGGTGATTTCCAAGGGGTCTCATCCTTGCTGCATCCTGGGTCATCGTGAGACACTGACGTGCCATCAGCTAGTGGGATCCTCCTGCCTCCAAAGGCAGTTTCCCACTGGGTGACTGGAATATATTTCACTCCAAAGCCTATTCCCAGCACAATGTCACTCATCCAAGGAGAGCCACTGCCAGTGTCTTATTCCTTTCCTTGCAGCTTTTGATTTCCACTTTCTGCTTTCCTGTAATTCCTCTGTGTTCCCTTTTGCTGCTCCCTCTCACGCCTCCACTCCTTGCTTGCTCCATGTGATGCTCCCAGGCACAGGGTGCATCTCTTCTTCAGCCTGTCCATCACATGGGAAAGCTTTTAGATCTGGAGCTTGAAAGATGGAGAGTGGGGGATGTGCTCAGACCTGCCCCACATTTGCTCTGCATCTATAACATGTCTTGGCAGCCACTGGGCTGCTGCAGATGCCCAGGCCACTCTCCAGTCTGGGGCACCTGCTCTGTAGTGGTAGGTCACTTCGTCTTCCCTTTGGGGTTTGCCACTGCATCTTGTTTCTTTTTCTCTTGCAACAAATGTCAAACAGACAGGTGTGACTGCTCTTGAAGGTGGTACATAGCCTGCTGGGGCTTTCCTGTTTGCCTCAGTCTCTTCTTCTAATTCCTCTTCTGATCACTGTTGTGCTCTCTCTCTTCATGCCATGCAGTGGTACCTGGGGCCCTGCCCAGCCTCTCAAGGGCAGCCTGGCCCTGGGGAGGGAGCAGGCAGGAGACCTGATCTCGACCTCTGCAGGCTTGGATCACAGTCCCCGAGGTCCTGTCCTCAGAGACTCACCTGCCCACCTGAGCTCTTGCCCTGGAGCATGGCTGTGTCCCCCAGAGCCTGCACTGGCCCTGGGTGTCACTCAGGCACCACTGTGTGGATTTTCACTTCCACCAGGCACTCCAAGCCCAGCACTCAGGCCATGCTGGCCAGTCCTGGCACATCCCACATGCTGGCCTTGTCTTAGGTCTGTCAGCAGTAACTCTACTGCTCCACCCCAGATGCTCATCCATCTGGGCAGGCCACCAGTGCTGCTCAGGATCAGGAGGGAATGTTGGACCCTGTGAAGTTTGTCCAAGTCAGAGGTGGCAGGTCTCTGGTGTTCTGGGTCCCTTTCTCCAGGACAGTGACAACTCTTTCAATGAATGCCTCAAACCTGGTGGAAATTTTAATTTGTGGGTCCCTGTGTGAAACATGAGCTGAAGAGCAGGGAAGGGCTGCAGGACCACATGGAAAAATGGGGGGGGAAAAAGAGACATTATTAGTCTAGTTCTGGAAATAGGGAGAGTGACAGGGAGAGGTGATCAGGTGCCAGCTTTGCTGTACCCAAGACTCTACTGACCAGCCTGGATCGAGGTGCATATCCCAGGCACACAAGGCTATTCATGTCTGGAGGCTGCAAGACGGATGACCAAGTTTTTGGCTTCACTGACAGTGCCTAAGGAGAAATGACCAGTGTCCCATCACTGGAGAACGTTCATGCTGTCCTGCCCTTCTGTCCTCCTTGGAGGCAGTTGTTACCCCAGGTCTCACTGCAATCTCAGCAGTCTCTAAGAAGCCACTGCAGAAATCCTGGCTGTGGATGTCATCAGAAGTGAAGGCAGACCTGGGCTCCAAGCAGATTTTGCCTCCTCAGATACTTTGCCTTGCAAGGACTCAATTCCTTTGAGCAATGAAGACCTGCCAGGCTGTGTCCAAGGAGAGGAAAGCAAAGACCACACGGTTGCACAGAAAGCACACCTGCAAAATGCCCTGCCAAAGATTGGCCTGGGCGCTCAGGAAAAGGCAAGCAAGACACAGAGATAAAACCTGGCTGTCTGAAAAACAACCTGGGAACATGAACCCTTGCACTTCAGGGGTGCAGAGGGTCTGGCTCCTGTCAGGGATCAGTTGCCATTGCCTTAAGGCTGTGGAAAAATGAAGATCAGAATAGAGCTGTGTCCCGTACCCCGTATACACAGATCAGGGATGCTCAGCGGGGGTGGGGTGGGAACAAGAAGAAGAGGTCAGACATTGTCCCACCAAAACCTGCCAAGCCTTCTCCTGAAGGCATTGTCAGGTTGCTGTTATTGCTGACCACGAGGGTTGCTCCCAGGAGGATCCACGGGGCTCTGTGCACGCTGCTGCAGGGTCACAGCTCCTGAGAGCAGAGGCTGCTGGCCCTCAGCACGCTGCCTGCAGAGGAGGGAACCTCCAGAAGTAGGTTTCGAGCCTTGGGCTCCTTTGGAGCCAGGCAGCAGAAGTGGCTCAGGCAGGAGACAAGGGGAGGAGAAGGTTTTCCACTCCACTCCCTCATCTCCAGGGTCAGAGCATGTTGAGCCCCCTGCCCTGAGCCCCAGTGACGCTCTGCTCAGCAGCGTGGAGACCACCAAGCAGTGAGCCCCACCAGCCACATGTAGGACCAGGTTATGGGCACTGTGCTCTCAGGGAGCTGCACCTCCCAGGGCCACCCTTGTGCCACAGAGCCACGAGGTGCCCTTGGCCCTCCCCAGGCACCAGGTAAAAGCTGCAATGCCATCCCATGATCACCATCGCTTCATATCGCCACGCTTTGAGCCAGCATGGGACGTAGAGAACGTTACCTTTCTCTTTTGGATGTCAACAGAGCTCCAAAAGGCTGCTCCCTCCTTTCAGGGGGTGAGAAGTTCAGCTGAGACACCTCGCTTGCTGTGAACTCTCTGAGGGTGACCAGGATTGTAATGCTCGTAGTGACTCTAGCACTGCTAATACTCTTAACTGTGACAGTTTGCCTTCATGCAGCACCTCCCGTACACAACATTTTGTCCTTTACTTCCACGGTAATTCCATGGAAAGCCCACCACTTAGGCCCTTAGATTGTTTCTGAGCTTAAGATAAAAAAATTCCTTGCCGAAGAATCCCCCCAGTCCCGCAAGGGAAATGCACCTGCAACATCGCACCAGCTGTGGCACTCAGGCTTGCTCTGTGTGACATGGCCTTGCACCGGGACTCCCGTGGCAGCTGAGGCACTCTCTGTCCTGATAGTGGTTTTTGCGAGCTCCAGCGTTATAGAGACCCTTTAGCAAACAGTGGAGGAGGAGGTGGATGTTGGATTGCTTTACTACACGTCATTTTCAACTGTTTATAATATTCTTCTGTGTCTACATATTTTCTCTGTGCACATTATTCATCAGAGTAAAAAAAGGAACTATGAAAACCTCGACCAACTTTCCTATGACAACAAGCGAGGACCCAAGGTATATATGCATGGAAATGCACGCCGCCCACCAACCTAACTAGCAAATGAAAAGTAGCCACAGCCACCAGAAAAATAAAAAAAAAAAAAAAAAAAAAAAAAAAAAAAAAAAAAAAAAAAAAAGTGAAAGAGAAAAAAAAAGAAAATAAAAGAAAGGAAAAAAAAAATCCATGACTATGTTTCTTGGTAGCACGTTTTTATGTTGAGATAGTTTGGTTTGGACTTGAGAATGGAAACTTAGCCAGCTGACCCTGGAAGGATTTCTTTTTGAAACATGCATGTGAACCAGTAATTAACTTGCAAGTTTTTTTTTTTTTTTTTGAAAAGTTGAACCAACCCCCTTTCCTCCCCAAAGGAAACGGTTCCTTGGTGTAAGTTGCTCACTTTGACTCCCAAAGGTTAACCTTGTGCAATGTTTTTTTCATTTCCCATGTTTTTGAAAAACAACACTCGTTTGAGTTTTCAATTGCATTTCAAAGCCTTTTTCTCTTTCCTGTACAATGCACGCCTCTTTTTGGGTCTTGATTGACTTCAGTTTGCATGCACAGTGCAAAAAAATAAAAATAAAAAAATAAAACAACCAAAAAGTCAAAATCTTAGAAGAGAAAGGAAGGAAGGAAAGAAAGAAAAGAAAGAAAAGAAAGAAAAAAGAAAAAAAAACTATAACCAACCTTATTTAGCAGACTTTTGTGCAGTTTAATGAATTCTCTTGACCTTTTCTAGATAGCATGGCTCTCACCACCAGTCCTGGGGCTCCCACACTAACCATCTTTGCTCACACTAATCACAGGCTGAGAAAGTGCTTCAGTTTGACCCTGGAACCAAAAATGTGACATCGCTGCTGCTGGAGGCGAAGGAGCTGGAGGCTCGGGTCATCATCCTCTCTGCCAGGTAAGGCAGTGCCACTCCTTCCCCTCCCCGCCTGCTCTTCTCCTCTCCCCTTTGCAGCACTGCCCAGAACTGGAGTCAGAGCAGGTTTAGGGTTTGTCATCCTTCCAAGGAGCCCGAGAGAAAATCCCTGTGGTGGTTTAAGCCCCAGTAGCAGCCAAGCCCCTCAGCCACTCACCCACTCACCAACAACGATATCAGGGACAGAATCACAAGGGTCAAAGATGGAGAACTCGAGGGTTGAGATAAAGACAGTTTAATAGGGAAAGGGGAAAGCAAAAGCCACTCACACAAGCAAAGAAAAACATGGAATTATTTCACCCCTTCCCATGGACAGCAGGTGTTCAGCACCTCCAGGAGGGCAGGGCCCCACCCCACAGAATGGTGACTTGGGAAGACAAACACCATCACCCCAAATGTCCCGCCCCACTCCTTCTTCCCCCAACTTTACATACTGAAAATGATATCATATGGTCTGGAGTATCCCTTGGATCAGCTGGGGTCAGCTGTCCCTGATGTGTCTCCCCCAGCCCCCCATGCACTCCCAACTTCCAGGCCAGTGTGGCAGCAGGAAAGCAGAAAAGCCTTGGCCCTCTGTAAGCCCTGCTCAGCAATAACAGAAACATCCCTGTATATCCACCCAGTGTCCAGAACAAACCCAGACACAGCCCCACACCAGCCACGGGGAAGAAAATTAACTCTCCCCCAGCTGAATGCAGCACAACCCCAGACATGGCTGTCCTGGGGAGCTGGTGGGTGCTGTGCTGTGCTGGACATGCTGCTGGCCTGGGAGCTGGCAGTCCCCAGCGTGGCTGAGATGTCTGTCCTGCACAGTGTCAGCAGCTGCAGAACCAGTTGCAGTTAATGGTGGTGTATCCTGGCCCAGCTGTGTGGGAGGGGAGTCTCTCTGTCCCCGTGCCTGCAGCATAAGGACTGGGCCAGATGTGCTGATGCTCAGCAGTGCTGGGCCCTGTGGGATCGGGTGAAGCTGGGAGAAAGATTCCCATTGCATGAAGAAATGAGGTGTTACCCAGGAGAAACACCTGTCAGAGAAGGGATACCTGGACTTGTGTCTGTCCTGGGACTGACACCCCCTTGGGACCTGACACAGGAGAAAAGGGACCATTCAGCACCTGGAGCTGCATTGCCCTTCCCTTCATAAAGCTCTTAGAGAGTGTCCAAAGGAGGCAACGAGGATGGGGAAGGGCCTTGATTTGAAGGCGTGTGAGGACACTGAGGGCACTTGGTGTGTTCAGCTGCAGAAGAGGAGACTGAGGGGAGAGCTCATTGCAGTTCCAACTGCCTGGGCAGGGGCAGAGGAGGGGCAGGACTGAGCTCTGCTCTGGGGGGAGCAGGGAC